TGGATCACTCTTCTTGGGAATAAGAAAAATATAGACCTCTTCCAATCCATTGACCAGACAGCTGTCCTCCAGCGTTCCTGGCCACAGATCGATATCTCTCATAAATATAGAAGCAAGAATTCTCAACAGAATTCTGGGCTATAGAATCCAACAGTATATTAGAAAAGTAGTTCATCATGACCAATAGAATTCATAACACATATGCAAACAGTTCAACATAAGAAAAGCAACTTATGTTGCTCAATGTTCATCACATTAACAAAGCAAAGAATAAGAAACACATGATCTTATCAATTGACACAGAAAGGCCTTTGACAAAATCCACCAGCCCTTCCTGATTAAAACATTCAATAAGACAGGAATTGAAGGGAACTTCCTCAATATAGTAAAAAGTGTATATGCAAAACCAAGAGCAAACATCATTCGTAATGAAGAAAAACTAAAAGCATTCCCCACGAGAACAGAAATTAGACAATGATGCCTTCTTTCACCACTCCTATTCAATATTGTATTGGAAGTATTTGCTAGGGCAATACAACGAGAGAAGAAAAAATGAGCAATCCAGATAATCAAAGAGGTGATAAAACTCTCGCTATATGCAGGTGATATGATACTGTACACAGAAAATCCCAAGGACTCAACCTTAAAAACTGTTACACCCACTGTACAACAGTGGCACTATGCAGTATTTGTCCTTTTGTGACTGAGATATTTCACTCAGCATAATGTCCTCCAGGGTCACCCATTTTGAATAATATTGCATGAGTTCCTTGTTTCTGGGTTGGGGTCAGACTGAGAAAAATTGAATAAATTATGTATACTGCACTGAAACAAATGAGGGAGAGAACAGTTTAAAAGTGATATATGATTGGGTATTATGGTTATGACAAGAGTCCAGAATGAAGGTTGCATAGTGGAGTGTACTGGGGGGAAGGGAGAATTGTATATCAATGAAGGAATTTTTCTTATACTTTTCAAAGAGAAGAGCAAACTGGAGCGGGGAGGGGTAGGCAGGGAGAAAAATGCAACAATGAATGAATGGAAATCCATAATCTCTATAAATGTTCATTAAAATTAATAAAATTTAAAAAAATATTTTCTGGAAACTAAAAAAAAAAAATATAAAACCTGTTATACAATTCAGTAGAATGGCAAGAGATAAAAAAAATCACTGGAATTCCTCCACAGTAACAAACAAAAAACCCCCAAACACCCAAAACCCAGGAAAGGAAACCAAGAAAGCAAATACCATTTACAACAGCCATTCATAAAGGAGGTACTTGGGAATAAACCTAACTAGAGACACAAAACATCTTTAAAAAGAAAACTACAAAACACTACTGCGAGAAACAGGAAGAGGCCTAACTAAATTTAAAAAAAAATGTTCCTTTGTTCATGGATTGTTGTTGTTGTCGTTATGTGCTGTCTGGTCACTTGTGACTCAAAGAGACCGCATGCATGACAGCCCTGAACCCAACTTCATTCTCTGACACACCTACATCCATTATCTCAGTCACTAAGTAAGAAGACTCAATATAATGAAAGTGGCAATCCTACCAAAACCAATCTTCTTGTTCAATGCAATCCCAATAGAGTCTTCATTCATTGTTGCATAATTTCCTCCCTCCCTGCCCCAGTCCACTTTGGTATGCACCTCTTATTCTGGACTGTTGTCATGCAAATAATGTCTAATCATATATTCCTTTAAACAGTGCTTTCCTTCACCTGTTCCAATGCAGTGTTCATTAATTATCCCCTCTTTTCTTAGTTTCCCCCCAACTCCCATGTCAGTCCTGTTTTATAACAGTGGTGCCCATCAACAAGTGAATGGCTAGAAAAACTATGGTATATTCACACAATGGAATACTACACAACAATGAAAAACAAGGACCACACAAAATATTATACAAATATGATGGCCCTGGAAGACATTATGCTGAGTAAAATATCTCAGACACAAAAGGACAAATACTCAAAATTCATTTTTCAAAGATACAGAAAAGGCAATAGGCAAGTTATTTGGAAAGAAAGAGAACTTGTATAAGCAAAGCACTTCTGAAAAACAATAATGAAGTGGAAGGCATAGCACTTCCTGATAACAAAACCTACTACATAGCTATAATAACCAAAATGGTACGGCACTGATTGGTACAATGACAGACAATTCAACAGAACTGAGAACCCAGAAATTAACTCATCTATCTATGACTCTTAAAAGAATGGAAATCCCAGAACACTTGATCGTTGTGATGTGAAACCTATACTTGGACCAAGAGGCAGTCGTCAGAACAGAGCAGGGAAACACTACATGGCTCAAAATTGGGAAAGGTGTACGCCACGGATATGTCCTATCTCCATACCTTTTCAACCTGTATGCAGAACAGATTATCCTAGAGGCTGAGCTCTATGAGGAGAAGTGTGGCGTCAGGATTGGTGGAAGATCTATTAACATTCTGCGTATGCAGATGACACAACCCTGCTTGCTGAAACTGAGGAGGACCTGAAATGCTTGCTGTAGAGGGTCAAGGACTGCAGCCTTCAGTATGGACTGAGGCTCAATGTCCAGAAGACAAAAATTCTCACCACTGGGCCAATTGTCAGCATCAAAATGGAGAGTGAAGAGACTGACATGGTTGACAACTTTAGTCTGCTTGGCTCCACGGTCAACGCTCTTGGCACCAGTAGCCAGGAAATAAAAAAATGTATTGCGATGGAAAAGTCTGCTGTTAGGGACCTCTCCAGGGTACTGTAGAGCAATGGTGTCACTCTGGAGACTAAGGTGCATTTGATACAGGCTATGGTCTTTGCAATCACTTGTTATGCATCAGAGAGTTGGACAATGACTAGGGTGATAGAAGAATTGGTGCCTTTGAGCTGTGGTGCTGGAGAAGAGTATTGAATGTCCCATGGACTGCCAAGAAAACAAACAGATTCATCCTGGAGAGGGTTAAACCAGACTGCTCCTTGGAGGCAAGGATTTGGGGGCTTCGTCTGACATAGTTTGGGCATGTTGCAAGGAGGGACAAGTCCTTGGAGAGAGACATCATACTTGGGAGGGTGAAGGGACGGCCCAAGAGGGGAAGACCCTCTATGAGGTGGATTGATTCAGTGACTGGGGTAATTGGGATGAGTGTGTCAAAGGCAGTGTGCTTGGCACAGGATAGAGCAGGGTTTAGGGCTGTTGTACATAAGGTCACTATGAGTCGCAAGTGACTCGATGGCATATAACAACAACATCTATGGTCAGCTGGTATTCAACAAGAAAATAAAACCCATCAAATGGGTAAATGATAACCTCTTCAACAAATGGTGCTAGCCAAACTGCAGAATGCTAAACAGGATCTAAATCCCACATCATACACAAAAATCAACTAAAAGTAGATCACATCCCTAGGGGTAAAGCCCCAAACCACAAAGATCATAAGAGAGGCGAGCTCTGGTGGCCTAGTGGCAAGAAGCTGCACTGCAATCCCAGAGGTGCGCCGTTCAAATCCACCAGATGCTCTGCTGAAGGAGAAACAATCACCTCTTGTACCAGTCAGATCCGATTTGACGGCACACACATAATAATATAAAAAAAATGCTAAAAAAATCATAAGAGAAAAAATGGGAAGAAAACTAGAAGGCCTAGCCTATTATATAAAGAGTCTGGAAAATGCAGCCAGAAAAGCACAACAAGGAGATAATAACTTCTAAAGATTAAGTTCCTGTGTACATCAAACCTTTATGCAATAGGGTGAAAGGAAAACCTACTGACTGAGAAAAAAATATTTGGCAATGATATCTCAGACAAGAGTCTATTAATGAAAATGTACAGAATACTACAGGGTCTCTACAAGAAAGACTGATAACCCAATTATAAAATGAGTGAAAGACATGGAAATCCCTTTCACAAAGGAATACATTCAGATGGCCAAAGGATGCATGAAGAAATGCTCAAAGTCATTGGCAATAAGAGATATGCAAATCAAAACTGCAATGAGATATCATTTCATCCCAATAGCAGTGGCAAAGTTTAACAAGCAATAAATGTTGAAGATGTGGAGCGATTGGAACTATCTTACACTCCAGTGTACAACCACTTTGGAAGACAGTTTGACATGTCCTAAAAAAGCTGAACATAGAGATCCAAGATGGCGGCGGAGGCAGAGACAGCGCACTTAAAGCAGGGCCATTATGGCCTTCCACAGACTTTGGCTTATTGATAATTGAACACTTAAACAGTTGATGACTGGCCTTCAGTGAAGATCGAGGCTCAACAACAGGAATTCAAGGATTCCCAAGGAGAACTCTCAACAACAGGAATTCAAAGATTCCCAAGGAGAAATGGGTGAGTCTCGTGCCCCACCCCCCCCGCGGAGCCCTTGCTGCCAAACACCCGCTGCAGCTCCATGAGGCTTCCACAGCCTGAACGAATGGATTCCCTCACCCAGGATGGATGCTAGGCACCGGCCCTCCTCAAGACTGGTACAGTGAAGCCACCACACTGCCGCAAGGGGGACTTGATCTGGAGAGAATTCTTGGAGCCAGGATGGCAGCTGTGTGGAAAGCGGGTGCCCACAGGCCGCCTGCACAAGAGGGGCCACGCACCCGCCAAGTGCCCGTGCGGTGGGGTGGGGAGGCACACCCCCAACAGCCGCCTACGCTGGGGGGGGGCACGCGCCTCCCGCAGGCCTCCCACGCTGCGGGGGGTGTGCACCCCGCTGGCCGCCTGTGTAGGAGGTGGGGGATAGGATGCATGCCCACCATCTGCAGGTTTGGGTTTCCTTGGACAGGCCAAAGAAGACGATTATCTATGCATTGGAAAGGCCAAAGAGGACGATTACCTATGCAATTGATTGCTGAAAGTCACTGTAAGTCTGGTGACCTTAACAGTGGCAGCATGTACAAGAGGACCGACATCCTAAATGCACCACATATTTTGTTCTGTTGAATGCTTCTGCCAAAAGCAGCAGCCAGATAAGATGACAGGTGATGGATCCAAAGAATTGTCAAATTTGTTAACATTTCTCCATTTCTAAACCATCCTTAAAGAAAATAATGTACGGAGTCACACCATCCTCACAGTAGTCCAGCAGAGCAACCATGCCATCTGGATTCAGGTTTTTACCAATAAAGAACTGATGTTGTTGCTGTTGTTGTTGTTGTTATGTGCCGTCGAGTCGTTTCCAACTCATAGCGACCCTATGCACAACAGCCCTAAACCCTGCTCTATCCTGCGCCAACTGCACCGCCTCTGACACACCCATCCCAATTACCCCAGTCACCGAATCAATCCATCTCATAGAGGGTCTTCCCCTCCTGTGCTGTCCCTCCACCCTCCCAAGCATGATGTCCCTCTCCAAGGACCCGTCCCTCCTGGCAACATGTCCAAAGTATGTCAGACGAAGCCCCAGAATCCTTGCCTCCAAGGAGTAGCTTGGTTTAATCCTCTCCAAGATGAATCTGTTTGTTTTCCTGGCAGTCCAGGGTACATTCAGTACCCTTCTTCAGCACCACAGCTCAAAAGCATCCACTCTCCTTCTGTCCTCCCTAGTCATTGTCCAACTCTCTGATGCATAACAAGCGATTGCAAATACCATGGCCTGTATCAGGCGCACCTTAGTCTCCAGAGAGACACTGTTGCTCCTGAGTACCTTAGAGAGGTCCCTAACAGCAGATTTTCCCATCACGATACGCTTTTTGATTTCCTGACTGCTGGTGCCAAGAGTGTTGACTGTGGAGCTGAGCAAACTGAAGCTGTGAACACTCTCAATCTCTTCGTCATCCATCCTGACGCTGCCAATTGGTCCAGTGGCGAGAATCTTTGTCTTCTTGGCATTGAGCCTCAGTCCATACTGAAGGCTGCAGTGCTTGACCCTTCGCAGCAAGTGCATGAGGTCCTCCTCAATTTCAGCAAGCAGGGTTGTGTCATCTGCATAACGGAGATTGTTAATAGATCTTCCACCAATCCTGATGCCACAATTCTCCTCATAGAGCCCAGCCTCTCGAATAATCTGCTCTGCATACATGTTGAAAAGGTATGGAGACAGGATGCATGGCTGGCGTACACCCTTCCCAATTTTGAACCATGCAGTGTTACCCTGCTCTGTTCTGACTACTGCCTCTTGGTCCAAGTATAGGTTTCATATTAGCACAATTAAATGTTCTGGGATTCCCATTCTTCTCAGAGTCAGCCACAGTTTGTTGTGATCCACACAGTCAAATGCCTTTGCATAATCAATGAAACACAGATAGACATTCTTCTGGTATTCCCTGCTTTCAGCCAAGATCCATCTAACATCAGCAACAATATCCCTAGTACCACGACCCCTTCTAAACCCAGCCTGGACTTCCGGCAGTTCTCTGCTGATGTGCTGTTCTAATCGTTTTTGGGTGATCTTCAGTAGAATCTTGCTTACATGTGAAATCAATGACACTGTTCTGTAGTTTCCACACTCAGTTGGGTCACCTTTCTTTCGAATAGGAACAAATATAGATCTCTTGTTTTTGAAATTAGCAAGGATGTGCTTGATCTGTTCTGCAGCCCCTGCCATAAAAGGTTTTACTCTTTCTGGTTTCTGTTCTTCAAGTTTGCCTTTGATTGATTTCATGTAATCCTTGATGTACTTATTGTAGGCTTCTTTTGTGAAGCTGGTTTCCTGCAAGTGATGGTTCATGACAATGTCAACACCAGTGATTACTGTGCTTTCGGTTCCTTCACAATCGGTGCCTTCAGCAGAGGCGTTTCCACCAATGAGCGAGTCATCAATGTTACCCTCCGTCCTACTGACCATCTTCCCCTCCACCTCCAGGTACAGTCCGTCCGCGATCTCCCAGATTTTGTAGATGTCGGAGAACATCTCATCGTAGCTGATGAGGTCTCGGTAGATGATCATGATGGCAGCAAGGACTCGATGGCGGCACTAGCTGAGCAGGAGCCGGAGCTCTGAGCAAGCGCGGTGCAGCCAGAGCGGCGCTCGGGGGGGGAGCGGGTGGAAAAGCAGAACAAGTTTTAGGATGGCAGCAGCAGCTGTGGCTCAACTGCAGAATTGATGTGAGATGGGACCTTCGGGGAGGAGGAAAGCCAATATTGGCAGGACTGAGAACTTTGTTGGACAATTAGGTGGAGAGGCAATATTGGCAGGACTGAGAACACTTTTGGACAATTGGAGGGGCAATATTGACAGGACTGAGAACTTGTTAGGACAATTGGGTGGAAAACCAATATTGGCAGGACTGAGAACTTTGTTGGGCAATCAGAGGGAGCCAATATTGGCAGAACTGAGAACTTGGAAACACTTAGAACCTCAAGGCTGAGATTCTTATGTGCACGTTTTGGAAGATGTCTTGACTGTATTGTGTTATTAATCTGAATTAATACCTTTTGACTTCCCCAATATGGTTCTGTGTGGTCTGTGAGTTATCACATTGGATTTTGGACACACAAAAGCAGTAAGATTGGTGTTGAGATTAATAAAAAGAGGCATGGGAGTGTGGAGGTCTTGTCTGACATCATGGAAGTTGGGTTTGTGTTATTGATGCGGTGGATGCAGATAGTTCCCCCCTGTGAAGTTGGTAAAGGTCAGATAAGACACTCCCCATGTGGCCCTTGCTCTTTTTACACTGAGTGAACTAATTCAGTCTCATAAGAACAAAAACTGTATATGGCCATTATTATAAAAACAAAATGATAACCAGTGAGATGTGCATAGATGTACAAAGAGAGAGGGAGAGGGGGCAAAGAGCTTAAGGGTGAAGAGAGGGTGAAATCATGGAATTAAAGAGATTGGTGGATGGAGGGAGGGAAAACAAAAACAATGTACATGAATGAAACACATATGCACAAAACTGCAACGTGTTAGACATTAAAAAAAAAAAGATTGACAGAAGACCCAGTAACAAGTGACATGCACATGCTACAGCTTTGAATGTTTCTCTTTTAGGAATACAAATTATCCATAAATGAATTTTCTAGGCTCTCCATTAGTCTTCATCCACAAATATTAACGCCTTCACTCTCAATGTTTACATTACTTTGTTCTTTCATACTTCATTCCGTTTCTTAGTATAGATCTTATAAAGTTTGGGTTTTAATATCTATAACATAATTTTTTTTCTGACTTGATAGCTTCCTTAGTTTCTCTTTCCTATTCATTTCATTCTGTTAAATTTTCATTTTCTGTCCTGTGTGTTCTCTCTCCTTCTTCTTCTTCTTCTTCTTCTGCTTCTGCTTCTGCTTCTGCTTCTGCTTCTTCTGCTTCTTCTGCTTCTTCTGCTTCTTCTTCCTCTTCCTCTTTCTTTGTCTTTGTTTGTTTTGTTTGTCTTTTACAGAAGCTTGAGGATGCTAATCAATTTCTAAATTTTCTCCTGAATCCTGGTTGCTTTCCGTTTTTCCTGAATGCTGTGCTTTTTCTCTAGTTTTGCATTGTTTCTGTTCCTTAACCTTAAACACGATTAATTTTTCTCTGGGATCAATAAATATAGGCAGGTTGATTGAGCTAGCTAACCTTGAACTTACCACCTACCTTTGGATGTGGTGGCAGAATCACCATCTTGAATTTTTAGTTGGAGGGTACATGAAGATATTTGGTGGTGGTGTTGATGTGGAGTGCCATCGAGTTAACTACAACTCCCAGTAGCCCTCTTAACAATGGATATGAATCTTGTCCTATCTTGCACCATTAAAGATCTCTGATATTCTCAAGCCTATTGTTAGAGTTATTGTATTAATCCATCTTGTTGAGGGACTTCCTTTGATTATATATGGGATGTTCAGCACTCTTCTCCAGTTCAAAAGAATAAACTCTTCTGTTATCTTTATTCATTATTTAACTTTCAGATGCATAGGAAGCAACTGAGAAGACGATGGCTTGGATAAGGCACACAATAGTCTTTAAACTGGCACCCTTGCCATTTAGAACTTTGACAGCAGATTTTCTCAATGTAACACGTATTTTTATTTCATGGTTGTAAAATTAAATTCTTGATAACTTCAATCTTTTTTCCATCTGTCATAATGTTGCCTAATGGTCTAGTGGTGAGGATCTTTTGAGTTCTTGATGTTGAGATGTAATCCGTATTGAAGGCTGTAGCCTTGATCTTCTGCAGCAAGTGTTTCAAGTTCTCTTCACTTTCAGGAAGTAAAGTTGTGTCATCTACATAAAGTAGGTTTGTTGATGAGTCTCCCTCCAATCCTTATCCCATATTCTTTTTCATAAAGTCCAATGTCTCAAATTATTTACTCAGCATGCAGATTGAATAACATGGAGAAAGAATGCCATTTTAATGCACATTTTTTTCTGATTTTAAATCATGCAGGCCTCGCCTCTCTAGTCATTCAAATCCACCATTGACTCCTTGAGAAATAGATAGACAATATTCTCCTATGAGCTTTAAACACTACTGAAAACCTACTGAAAAGTCTGAAAGGTTGGTTTCTACTCCATGACAATGATAGATGACTGATAATATAAAGTCCCCATACTCAAGAATCATCATCCTTGGTTGTTTCCTCTAAAATGTTTTTTTTCATTTTTTTCTTTTTTATCGAGATGTTACTGAAAGATTATAGAGAACTTGGATTTCCATTCATTCATTGTTGCACATTTTCCTCCCTTCCCACACCTCCCCGCAGTTTGCTTTTCTCTTTGAAAAGAAAAAGAAAATTATTTCATTGTTATAAAATCTCCCCAGGCCATTTTACTATGCAGCTCTTATTCTGGACTCTTGTTACACAAATAACACCTAATCATATATCCCTTTTAAACTGTCCTCTCCATCATCTGTTTCAGGAATGCAGTGTACATTATTTATCCCCTCTTTTCTTTGTTTTCCCCCAAATCCAATGAAAGTCCTATTTTATAACAGTGTGGACCTTAAAAAAGCAATCCAAAACAATGCAGATAAAGCAAACAAGTCATTAGAGGCTCTGGAAAAACAAGAAACCACATTCCAAAATATGAGGTCCAATGTTTCAGATGCTATTAACATGATGATGAAGGGACACATGAACAGGGTTGAAGAGATGGAACACAGAATCAGTGAGATAGAAGATAGAATTGTCATCACTAATCTGCTAGAATAAAAAGCAGAATCAAAAAGGAAGGGAAAAGAAGAAAGCCTAAGAATAATGTGGGACACCATCAAGAGAAATAACATGTGCATCGTCAGAATCCCAGAACAGGAAGAAGCAAGTAAAGGAACCAAAAAAGTTGTGGAAGAATTAATAAAAGAAAACTTCCCAGGCATAATGAAGAATGAAAGACTATATATTCAAGAAGTTGAGCGAACACCATACAGAATAGATCAGAAAAGAAAAACACCAAGGCATATCGTAGTCAAATTTTCCAAAATCAAAGATAAGGAGACAACAAATAAAATTAAGTGTTGATTTCTCACCAGAGACCATGTGAGCAAGAACACAGAGGAATGACATATATCAAACACTCAAAGAACACAACTGTCAACCAAGAATATTGTACCCAGCACAACTCTCCATCAAATAGGAAGGAGAGATCAAGATATTCCCAGAAAAATAGAGCCTAGGGAAGTTTGTAAAAATAAGACCAGCAACGCAGGAAACACTGAGAGATGTCTTTCTTCCAGAGGTACCATAGAAAGCAGGATGGACCAAAGTAACTAGCAACACCACCAAAAAGACCTCAACAAAATGATAGCAATAAAACCTTGCCTCTCAATAATCACACTTAATGTGAATGGTTTAAATGCACCACTGAAGATAAAAAGAGTAGCAGATTGGAGGAAAAAACAAAACCCATCAATATACTGTCTATAAGAGACACACCTGAAAAGTGAAGATAAAGATTAAAAATAAAGGGTGGGAAAATATATATCAAGCAAATGGGAACCAGAAAAAAGCAGGAGTAGTGATATTAATCTTTGATAAAATAAATTTCAATCCAAAAACCATCATAAAGGACAATGAAGGTCACTATATAATGCTTAAAGGGTCAATAGAACAAGATGACATAACAATAATAAATATCTATGCACCAAATGATAGAGCTTCAAAATATATAAAACAAACATTAACAAAACTGTAAAAGGAAATAGACAACACCACTATAGTAGTTGGAGACTTCAATACATCACCCTCCAGAAAAGATAGAACTACCAGAAAGAAACTCAGCAAAAATGCTGAAGAATTAAACCACACAATAAACCAACTCAATCTCATAGATATTTATAGGCTAATGCACCTCCAAAAAAGCACAGTATACCTTCTCCAATGTGCATGGAATGTTCTCCAGAATAGATCACATTTTAGGTCACAATAAATTAAAAAATATAGAAATAATACAAAGGATCTTCTCAGACCACAATGCTACAAAATTAGAAATTAATAACAAAAGGATAAAGGAGAAAAAAACATACATTTGAAAGCTGGACAACACCTTGTTTGAACATGAGTGAGTATGAGAAGAAATAAAAAAATGAAATTAAAAAGTTTCTTGAAACAAATGACAATGAACACACAACTTACCAAAACCTCTGGGAAACAGCCAAAGTAGTAATCAGAGGTCAATTTGTAGCAATAAGCAAACACATCAAAAGGCAGGAAAAAATGACCATTGACTCTCTAACCCAACAAATTTAAAAAGAACAGCAAGAACCCCTACAACCTCTAAACCAACCCAAAAACCAAAAAATCTAACCTGAAATTATAAAAATTCGGGCAGAAATAAATGAAATAGAAAAGAGAAAAACAATTGAAACCATTAAAAATTCAGAAATTGGTTCTTTAAAGTTGTCAATAAAATCAACAAACCAATAGCAAAACTAACAAAGGAAAAGACACAAATAATCTGAATGAGTGATGAACAGGCAATGTCACAACAGAATCAACTAAAATAAAAAGACTAACAATGGAATATAT